AGCTAAGTAGGGCCCTCTTCTGGCCCACTCAGCCTCCTTAGCACCAGCACTACAACTGGCAGGTATTTTTTTTCCTCTCCCCCTTCTTAACCTGTTATAAATTCGAGCACTTAACACTTAACAACTTTCCTGTTGTTTCTACTCCAACCCATCTGAGGAAGTGGGTTTTGCCCATGCCGGCTCATGATACTAGCTATATTTCGGTAGTCTCTACGGTGCCACAGGACTGCGCGTTGTTTTTAAAGTTACAGGCTAACACGGCGACTCCCCCTCAGACTCCATTTAATAGGTGAACTGCTCAGGAGAGTCAGACTCTAATGTGTAATGCCCCGGTGCCTCCCCCTATCGATGGATTGATATGTGCTTCTGACCGGCTGACAAGCCACCTCCTAAGGCTGTGGCTAATGCGCCTATGCTCCTTTGCCGCCCCAGGGGAAGAGTTCTGTGTGCAGGACTTTTCGGGGGCTGCTCTGGCCCCAGGCCGCGAGGGTGGTGGTGCAGCAAATGGAGCAATTTCAAGGGGTCGTTTGAGGCAGAGATGGCAAGTCGATCTTGCCTGGGCACAGGGGCTGCACGGCACATGAGACTGGGCGGCACGCGTTGCCTTCTGGAGCTGCCGTGAGCCAAAGAAAAGGGAAGAGGAGAGGGTACTGGGGGAGCAGGGGTGGCGGGTAATGTAAGCAAGGGAAGGCACTGCCTCCCAAAGCTGCCCACACTGCCCAGATGCCCAGGAGGGGTGAGGAGCATTCTGTGTGGCAACCTGGCTCCCTGGCAGCATGGTGGCCAGGCTGGCCTGCAGCCAGGCAGTGGGGGGGTGTGACTTTGAGTCAAAGGGGTGGGGCTTCAGCTTGCCTTGCACAGCTGGACCTACCTCCGCCGCCCATGTGGGGGAGAGAGAAACCAGAGACGAAACTGGTCCAGGGGAAGCCAGAGAAAGCGTGGAGTTCAGGGATGGTGAGCAGAGAGGGGATTTGGGTAGGGCAGAGAGGGGATGGTTAGAAGTGAGAGAGTCAGGTTTGAACAGAGAGGGGGTGAGGGAGTTGGAGTAAGGCAGAGAGGGCGGAATCCGTGACAAGGGACTCAGGGTTGTCTCATGTCATTAGTGTCAGGTCTCTAGCCTGGGGAATGGGGACTAACAGAGTCCCTGCCATACTGCACGGTGTTCCTGCCAATATACAGCCGTCTACTATATATTGAAAGAGTTTGTCTGTCTTTTCAATAAGTCCTCCAAAATGGTAAGCGTCAGGACCAACAATCTGGTAGACAGCTTCCTCTTATTATAACCTAAAGCAAGGTCGGGGTCTGGTTTTGCCAGGACAATGGGATGTGCCTGGAATGGGATTACATAGCCATAGTAGTGAGCGATAGGAAAACCCAGTTTGATTCCAGAATCTATCTCCTGATAAGGGGAGGATTTAGTTTCCCAATAAAGGGCTGTCATGATCGTGAGAGATGGCCAGCAGCCTGGGGACTAAGGGGTTAATTCTACCTAACCCAGGTAGAGTTGGCCAATAGGAATGTAAGTAGGAATTTCAAACTGGGACAACGGAATTTTGGGTTTTTCCCTCTCCTTTGTCCTGGGTAGTTTCACTCCAGCTACTGAGGGAGGGAGACAGAATGTCCCCCTTCAAGAATAGACTCTTCTATAAGTAGGGTAAAGTTTAGGTAAATCCGTTAGGTTTTATGGTTTGGGAAATGGGATCTGATGTCTGTACACTTTTTAAAAATGTTTTTGCTTTCCTTTGTAACTAAGTTTTAGGCCCATGGTGGAGTTTCCCCATGATTATTACTTTGTGGCTACGTCTAGACGACATCCCTTTTTCGTAAAAGGGATGTAAATTAGACTTATCGCAATTGCTAATGAAGTGGGGATTTAAATCTCCCCCGCTTCATTAGCATAAAAATGGCTGCCGCTTTTTTTCGGCACGGCACTTTGCCGGAAAAAAGCACCAGTCTAGACGTGGATCTTTCGGAAAATAAAGCCTTTTCCGAAAGATCCCTTATTTTAAGTCTCTCCCTGGTTTCTTTATTATTACTTGGATGGTGGCAGCGGATTTTATCCCCAAAATCTAGGTTAAGATTTTGGGGGGAAGCTTTATACCAAAGCCTGGCAGATAAGGCTTTGGGATACTTTTGCGGGCCTGCACTTCTACATTTATTGTGCCAGAGTGAGGAAGGAGCCATGACAGGGGCATATCAAATCAAACTGATTCTTGACTAGATCTTAGCCACAAGACCGGACTAAACCAGGCATAGGCCTGGCTGACGTTGTGTAAGTTTCTCTCACACAGTTCTGCTAAGATGTCTCAATATCCCTTAAGCCTTTAACCCCTGCCAAACAGAGACTTCCTGTAGTACTGTGATTTTACAAGAAGAAAACTCATGTCTGCAATGGTGATGGATACCAATTTACGAATCTGGGTGGATGGGGAGATAGGAATGCCCACGGGGGACTGACGGAGTAAATTCTGTGCCTATTTGTGCATGCGATCTAGACTAGGATGTGACTCGATAAGGCTTTGGGATACTTTTGCAGGCCTGCACTTCTACATTTATTGTGCCAGAATGAGGAAGGAGCCATGACAGGGGTATATCAAATCAAACTGATTTTTCACTATATCTTAGCTACAAGACCGGACTAAACCAGGCATAGGCCTGGCTGACGTTGTGTAAGTTTCTCTCACACAGTTCTGCTAAGATGTCTCAATATCCCTTAAGCCTTTAACCCCTGCCAAACAGAGACTTCCTGTAGTACTGTGATTTTACAAGAAGAAAACTCATGTCTGCAATGGTGATGGATACCAATTTACGAATCTGGGTGGATGGGGAGATAGGAATGCCCACAGGGGACTATGAAGGAGTAAATTCTATGCCTATTTGTGCATGCGATCTAGACTAGGATGTGACTCAGAGCTGGCCTCCATTGTAAAGACAGGATGTGAGGGGGAGGGGCTAAACCGAGTCGTGAGTTGCCTCCCACTCTGGCTCCAGACATGCGAGGGTAGGGAAGGTCTGAGGATGAGAATTCCTACCTGTTTGGTCCCACTACCAAAGAGGGAGGTAGAGTCAGTCACTGAATTTAATAGGCAATGGTGTACTATAACGTGTGTGTCAATCTGTTACTTTCTATGGATGGTATATAGAAATTATATAAACCTGTCGTAAGGTCTCCGGGCTCCTGGTCACTGCTGCTACTGTGGCAGGGGTCAAAGCCCTGGGCCCTTTATATCACTGCTGGAGCCCTTAGCATAGTGGTCTCCAACCTTTTGATGCAGGAGATCACTTTTTGAATTTAAATGCAATCCAAGATCTATCTGAAACCCAAATACCCTACCCCCGCCTCTTGAGAGGCCACGCCCCTGCTCACTCCATCCTCCCCCCTCCCCCCGTCGCTTTCACTAGGCTGGGGCAGAGGGTTGGGATGCAGGTTCTGGCCTTGGATTAAGGGATCTGGAGTGTGAGGGGCTCTGAGCTGCAGGCAGTTGGGATATCAGAGGGGGTTCTAGGTGCAGGCTCTACGAGGGCATTTGGATGCAGTCAGTGGTGCTCAGGGTTAGGGATGCAGAAGGGGGGTCATGACTGGGGTAGGGTTTTGGAATGTGGGCTTCAGCTGGGCACTGTTTACCTCGGGTGACTCCCGGGTGGTGGTGCAGTGGGGCTAATGCAGGCTCACCCCTGCCCCAGCCCTGCACCCCTCCCAAAAGCAGCCAGCAAACTCCTTCCATCCCAAGCCCTGTTGTCCCCTCTCTGTTTTATGGAGTTAGGATACAGAGTGGGAGAGGAGGCACCTTGATATCAGCACCCCTCCACTCCCTCCCCTCCCCTGTCCTGCACAGCAAGTAGGATGATCCTGAGGGAACAGCGTCAAGGCAAAGGGCAGGAGGTGAGCAGCAATGGGGGGGAGGGACAGCTGAAGTGCCGGCACTTGATAACAGCCTCTTGGCCAAACCGGTCAGGATCACCTGTCAGAGGCTCCAAGATCCACCAGTAGATCCCCATCTACTGCTTGGTGACCAGTGCCTTAGAGGCAGTCTCTGGGCAGTGCTGAGGGCTGGGGGGGAGGAGGGGGGGAGAGGGGAGGGAAGGGACAGGGTGGGCCAGGCAGTGCTAAGGACTGGCTGGCGCTTTTTGGAACATCCTTCTGGTATTGAAAAGAAGGGAGTTTCCTCAGCTTATTCAAACATTTCCTGAATTGGAGCCTAATATTTTTTTTCTTCTGCTATGATTCACCTGGCTCAATGTCAGCGATACATTTTGAGCCCAAGGTGGAAAAAAGTCCAGAACTAGTCCATCCAGCTGGTATTCTGCTTACTGTAGCACATAAACTGGAATGAAGTGCCAGGAACCAAAGCTTAATGGCTGGTAAGAGAGTTTTTCTTGCTGTTGCATGCCGACCAATATTCATGATTGGATCCCGAGCCTCCTGCTCACTTGACTATGAAACGGGAGATGTGCTCCCAAAACACTCAACCCTGTGTCAATTATAGGATATAACTTGTCTGAACAATCCTCCTTTTTGGTGGGATAACACAGGACTTCATG